TTGTTTACTTGGTCGATGGCTGCAATAACGTCTACAAGAGTTCCGATTGATGGATAAATCGCTTTGTAAACGGCTATTCTGCAACGTGGACCAATAAAATAACTCGTAAATGAATAATTCAAAACAAATTATAATTAGTCTTAAATCTTAATATATGAGCTAATTGATATGATTTTATTACGAACCGTGCGCGTGGAGCCATACCGCTGGCTCGGCCGTAGAAGAATCCGTCTACGATCACCGGAACTCCGGCGTTCCCGGCTGCAATGGATGCCACGTGGCTGAGCCAAAATCGACAACATTAAATCTTATGTTATGCTACACACATAATGTGTACCAATTAACAAATCTAGAATAGCCAGATTTAAAATTTACCGAATGAACATAAATATATTTATAATATACAACAAAACAAACACTATGATAATTATTTGCCACATTTTTTTTTTTAAATGTTAAGTTGACAGGTTTAAACAAGAATTTTTAAATTTAAATTCGAAACCATCAACCAATTAAATTTAGTCAAACCAAGGAAACACCAAAAAAGGAAGAATTTATAATTTTCCAAAAAAAAATACCAAAATCTAAGATATATTTATAATTGACTGAAAAATAAAAAAATATAACATTTATAATTAACCAACATTAAAGTGTATTCGATTATAAAGAAAATAAAAATAATAGAGACATGCATGTTTTATACCTTCCATGACCGGACGCATCGAACGGAGAGAGTATATCCAAGGAGGCATTGAGAGCGACGGAAGCTCGAGCTCCGGCGGAAAAGAACCTAGCGGAGATGATTTTTCCGTTACAAGATCCGGCGGGGAAGAGAGGACCGACCTCACAATGGCCGGAGAAATTCAAACGTGAGAGATTTGATGAGAAAGGGTTAGTGAGATCAAGTGCGGCAAAGCTCGGATGAGTAGGGTTAATTCCGGTGTCCACAAAACCTATTATAATATCTTCTCCTGCGCGTCTATCGCCTTCACGGGAGATCTTTGGCCAGACTTGTTGGGGAAGGTCCAAGAAGTCGGGAGTGTAAGTTGTCATTAGTTTCACTCCTTTGTCTTCTTCCACTGCCTTTACTCCTTTTGCTTTCCTCAGTTTCGTGGCCTGCAAGATCATCGTAATTTCCGGTTTACCAAACCAAAATTAACGAAATGTTGAACCAAGCCAATTGAGAGGGGGGTTATTAGAAACTCCTATAGATTGAATAGTTGAATAGCAGAAATAGTCGAATAGCGGACTGAGTAGAATTTTCGCAGAAAAAATCATAAAAAGCGAAAAAATGATTTTAGTTGATTAATATGTCTCATTTTC